TATAAGTCTATATAAGAGTGTATAAGTCCAAACACACACCCACCGCGGAACACAGACACACACACACACACACACACACACACACACACACACACACACACACAGGTTTGTTTTTATGGTTTATGGGGACTCTCCATAGGCGTAATGGTTTTTATACTGTACAGACCGTATATTCCATTGCCCTACACCAACCCTACCCCTAAACCTACACCTCACAGGAGACTTTCTGCTATTTTTAGATTTTCAAAAAACTTAATTCTGTACGATTTATAAGCTTTTGTACCCGTGGGGACCACAATTTAGCTCCCCACCGTGACACGAGTCCCCATGAGTCTGTGTATAGTCAGGTTTAAGTCCCCACCAGGATATATAAACCAGTACACACACACACACACACACACACCGAGGAACACCGCCAACACCAGCGCCTTCAGTCTACAGCTTCATAAACTGCTGAAGAAAAAAGTTGTGCACAAAAAATATATTGTGCAGCAAAATAAATAAAATGACAAAAGACAAAATTATGAATCATATATATTCAGTGTTGGGGGTAACTCATTACAAGTAACGCGAGTTACATAATCAGATTACTTTTGTCAAATAACTAGTAAAGTAATGCATTACTTTTTTAAATTACAAGAATATATCTGAGTTACTTTTTCAAAAAAGTAATGCCAGTTACTTTGTTTTCCCATTTATTGACTGACAGCTCTCCTGTCCCCATAATGGGAGAAATCGTGTTCGAGTTGTGAACATGATGCTACTGTAGTTCTAGACTAAATGTGAATGTGTATTAATTCATCCCACTCACAAAAAACAGATTTAGTATTCATCAAAATGAATTAAAACAGTGACATGCAAACTCAGAATATGACGCAAACCTGCAATAATTAAATATGTTAAATAACACAAATGTATCTAATCCCATTTTACTAACCAATATCTTTGCTGCTGACCTTTGATGATCCAGTTCAACCGTACTAATAAGCAAAAATGACTTTAGATAAACTAACAATTGTGCTTTGTTTTTTTTATTGCTGAAGAGTGTTTCTTCTCCTGCGCTCTACTGTACAGACCTGATTTACTTTTGCTTCAGCCTGAGGTTTATTCATTACACTTTTTGGTGTGAAAGTTTTATATTTGCTATAAATAGAGCTTCTTATATTAAAAACAATCAAGCCCTGCTCATATTTAAAAAGTAACACGAAAGTAATGCAAAAGTAATATAACGCATTACTTTCCATAAAAAGTAACTAAGTAACGTAATTAGTTACTTTTTTAGGGAGTAACGCAATATTGTAATGCATTACTTTTAAAAGTAACTTTCCCCAACACTGTTCATATCTAGCAAAAGGATTTCATATGACAGTATGTAAGCGCATTTCCACCAAGTTAGAAAAAATACATATATACATTTTAGAGTCATAATTATAATAAAGAGTTATAATGAGATAAAACGAAATTATGACATGCTAAATCATAAGATAAAAATGTTACTTTAATCATTAATAATATAGTCATAACTTTGACTTTTCATGACTTATTAAAGCATGATTTGGCAGAAAAGGGCTTCAGACTATACAGACTCACACATTAGACTTTTAACTAGATACTGATCATTATCTATCTTCTGTCAGAGAAGAGCTTTCCTCTGATGTTTTTACTTTCTGTGCCTCTTCTCAAAAAACATGCTTTTTATCATGTTTATAGAAATTCTCACGCTTTTTCAGACTTTTACTTTTTATTAACAAAACTGAAAAAAATTAACTTGACACTCGATCAAATATCTACACGTAAAAATCCCTCTAACCCTTTACACATCAGACACACGTCCAGTATTTCACATCAAATCACAGTCATCGACACGCTGCAATGCATCACTGTAACAAATCATGTAGAACGTTTAGAACAAATGTTACGAAGGAGTTGTTTTTTCTACCTGAAGCTAGTTTGTGATGAAGTCACACTTCTATGATCAGGCCAGATTTAATTTACTTGACATTCATGAACTCGGTTCACAGAAAACACTTGGCAACCTCCATTCGTATGTTAGGAACCGATGTACAAAATGAACAGATTTAAACTATTATAGTTACTAGTCCACACACACAGACCAACATCTAGTGACAGAAATGATTTCATCTGGAAAACACAGTGATCAAGAGGCCAGATATCTCCAGGTTTCCCCGAATCGTCTGCTGTTGGATGAGGAAGGGTGACAGTAGATGAAGGTGTTATCGCATCGACAGCATCATCACAAACTCTGGAAGAGTCAACAACATCAGATCACTGCTGCTTCACATCCCTGAATGCTTCCATTTCAGCATGTCATTATAGTATCAATTATTATTATCTCTCACCGTCGAAATCCACGGTTCCGTCTCCGTTCAGGTCCAGCTCCTTCAGGATCTCCTCCAGCTCTCCTTTCTTGAGTTTCTCTCCTAACAGAGACTTCAAAGCCTCCTTCATCTCATCCAGAGAGATCTTCCCATCACCGTCAGCGTCAAACTGAGCACAAACACACAGTTCATTCACTGCTCAATTACATTTGAAGCAAGACATCACAGCTGAATAGGGTTCAAAAAATAGATTCACCTTACTACAATTGACTGATTTTGACACACCTTTTTTTTTTTTTTTTTTTTACAGTTTTTGTATTACACGTTGTGTTGTGAAATGTTATGTTCAGATATGCAAATGAGGTATCTAATTAAATATGCGCTAATTTGCATACAAGTCCAGCACATGAATCTGAACACTGAATGCACTCAGGTTCAAAACTGTAGTTTGATTCAGTAGGTTTTTTCAGAGCGGGGTTTTGGATTCCTTTTTTTTATCACTCCATAAATCAGAAAATAATGTCAACAGACAGAAAACAGACACATTTTCACCATGTTTTTAGGAGTAAAATGTTGTATTAATCAGTGTGAATGATATATAACAATAAATATACAAAAGTATTATGTTTGTATGTGTATTGTTTTATATAGTGTATATACTGTACATAAAAGTATACTGTTAAAAGTGTCTAAACGTGTATGTTTTTGTTAAACATGTCAATTGTATTCTGGAGCACGCACCCAAGCGTTTCCCTCACCACGACACACCTGCTGTTGGAGATGTGACAATAAAAGTGATTTGATTTCAACAAACCCCTCAGTAAAAACACGCAATGAGTGTGCTTGTGATTTGTTAATGTTTTTGAAAGTCTCTTCTGTTCACCAAGGCTGCTTTTTCAAATCAAAAACACAGTATAACAGTTAAATATTATTACAGTGTAAAGCAGCTGTTTTCTGTGTGAATCTGTGTTAAACTGTAATGTATTTCTGTGATGCGCAGCTGTATTTTCAGCATCATTCCTCCAGTCTTCAGTGTCACATGATCTTCAGAAATCAGTATAATATGCTGATCTGCTGCTCGAGAAACATTTCTGATTATTATCAATGTTGAACACAGTCGTGCTGCACAATATGTTTGTGGAAACTATGATGCATTTTATTTCTCAGGATTCACAGATGAATAGAAAGTTCAAAAGAGCAGGGTTTACTTGAAATATAAATATTTTGTAATATTATAAATGTCTTACTGTCACATGTCTCACTGATCAATTTAATGTGTCCTTGATGAATAAAAGTGTTCATTTATTTTAAAACATTTTGAACAGTGTATGATATAGTGTAACCTGTAGATCTATGTAGTGACTGATGAGTGTTTGTGGTTGCATTTGTACCTGACAGAAGGAGCTTTTGAGCTCTTTGAGTCCCAGCATATCCGCCGTCTCCACCATCATCCTGGGACCCATCAACTCACAGAAATCATCAAAATCCATCAGACCTCCAACTGAACACACAAAAACACCATGCGACCTGAGACGCTGATATATGACACTTGAGTTTATTATATTAGTGTGTACAGATACTGACGCCTCATCTTGATCTGCTGGATGATCTCCAGCAGCTCCATCTCTGTGGGCATGTAGCCCATCGTCCGCATGCACTCGGCCAGATCCTTATAGTTCAGATAGCCGTCCTGATCGTAATCGAACTCCTTGAAGGCCTCGGCCAGCTCTGGAACACAAGCAGGCGTGTGCTGATGTTGAGCGGAGGTGTGATATGATGTGATAATCTGTGATGATTTGTGATGTGATGATTTGTGATGTGATGATTGATCTGAGATGTGATGATCTGTGATGTGATGATTTGTGATGTGATGATCTGTGATGTGATGATCTGTGATGTGATGACCTGAGATGTGATGATTTGCGATTTGATGATCTGTGATGTGATTATTTGTGATTTGATGATATGTGATGTGATGATCTGTGATGTGATGATTTGTGAGGTGATGTTCTGAGATGTGATGATTTGTGATGTGATGATTGATCTGAGATGTGATGATCTGTGATGTGATGATTGACCTGAGATGTGATGATCTGTGATGTGATGATCTGTGATGTAATGACCTGAGATGTGATGATCTGTGATGTGATGATGGTCAGATGGTGTGATACTCACCGTCCAGCTCTGGCTGAGACAACTCTCGCTCCTGACAGCAAACACAGAGAGATCACATTAGTTGTGTATGTGGTTGTTATAAGAGCTAATGATCTGAAAGAATCATGTGTTGTTTTGATTAGAGGCTTAGAATCAATCAGGACACATTCAGATTAAAGCTTCCGACTCAATCCAAGTTTCCATGGCATGTTTTGGGTCACAGAACAATCGCTCAAGAATCAACATTATGGTCACTGTTTACTTGTGTGCTTCTCTTTCATATTCTCACTCTGCCTCGATTAGCATCACATGCTGTTATATGCAAATTATTACATATGCAAATTAAATTATTTTTAAAAATAATCTGATGAAAACGTTCCCTAGTCAGTTTCTCTTTTTTTCTGTTTTGTTTTTCATTTTCCAATTTTACACAGCATAAATGTTGCTATTTTGCTATTTCATTGTGTTTTTATTCCATTTAACTCCTTTCTTGTTGAAATGACATACTATTTTGCTTTTTAGTGTTTCATTATACATTTTTACTCAGTTTAACTCTCTACACAGAGTAATTTGCAAATTAATACATTCTTAAATTTGCAAATAAAAAAGTTTTTATAAAAAGTTTCCTGTACAGATTTCAACTAGTTTTTTTTTGTTTTTCTTTATTAATTTTTACTCAGTTTAACTCTCTACACAGAGTAATTTGCAAATTAACACATTCTTAAATTTGCAAATAAAAAAGTTTTTATAAAAAGTTTCCTGTACAGATTTCAACTAGTTTTTTTTAGTTTTTCTTTATTAATTTTTACTCAGTTTAACAGTTTGCTTGCTGCAATTTGCAAAATATAAAATTTGCAAATCAAAAACATTTGTAAAAATCTCATGAAAAAATGATTGTCCTTTTTTTACTGAATTGGGCATTGGTGATTCTGTCACAATGTCATGAGCTATCAGTTGAGAAATGTGTGTCAGTGACCAGAAACTTCGTCCTAACATCAAATCTAATGACAGCAACACAAAGAGAGCCACTAAACTCAGTTCTGATGAGGTTCAGCAAACGCTCTGAGAATAAAGTACAAATGAAAGGAAATAGTGATGGTGACCCCCTAAAGGTCAGACTGAGTATCAAATGAGCTCTTTCGTCATCTTCAGTTGATTTGATTATACAGTTTGCTAATTTCACTAACTGGGTAGAAATTTAAAAATAGAGTTTGTCTATCAAAAAAAAAAACATTAACATTAAAATCTTAAATATTAGAATTTTAAAAACTGTTTTAAAAACAACACTAGAATGGGAACAGATTTTATATTTCATATAAAAGTAACCCGAAACATTTCAAACACATCGAAATTCAGATTTAATTTGTGTTCAACACTATAAGAAGGAATCAGAAATGAACTGCAGCTAGGAAACACACAGACACGCGTGTAGAGCACGAGTCAAGTCATGAATCAAACACCACTGTCCTGTTCCGTCCGCTTAAGCCTCGTTAAACCTCGTTAGAGTAAATGAGGAGTGACACTGAACCGCGTCATGTGCTATTATTACAGTCTTAGTGCGATTACAGGGGTTAACGAGTGTTTAACAGACGTACCACACACATCACGCTCTGAGAACGCAAGAGTCAATGCACTAAACACAAAGACACGGCACTCTGTGTTTCATCATGAAATCAACAGACGTACTGGTGTCATCAGTGCAGAATCTCATGTATATCTGTGTAAAATCTCATAGATGAGTTTCTCTACTGTATAATATTGCATGCACCGTGCTTGATTGTCAATGGGACGTTTCAGTCACAAATAAACATCTAAGTACAACTAATCTCATCCGCATGTTTAAGCATGGAAACTGCAGATACGTCACTAGGTTTGACGTCAGTGATGTTGTTGACGTCTGAAGGTTGTTGTATGTTTAGTGACCATCATGAAGGAAAGATTATCAGTCAATAATGACGTCAGTTTGGGTCTGTTCAACACTCAGAGCTATTAAATGACTTCAAAATTGGCATTTCATGGCATTTTCTTCTTTTTTGGAGCTTGTCAGATTGTGACCACAGTGAAGCGTCATCAGAAAAGCAGAGTGAAAGAGCTCTGTGTTTTGCCTGTACAGAATTGTCATTTCTGCATGAATTATTGATTTAAAGAGCTGATTCAGGTGCTTAAGACTGTAGTAAGAATCTCCAAACACAAGAGCAGGTGTGAGATACCTGTCCGAAGATGCTGTTCAGCAGGTTAGTGTACACCTTGTTCATGGCATCCTCGTTTGATTTCTTGCTTTTCTTCTTCTTGGAGGCGTCGCCGGACGCTGTCTTGCGGAGGGCGGATTTGGGGGTGGAGTCATCAGCTGATTGGCTGGATTTGGTGGAGTTTAATGAAGAAAACATGCAGATGCGTGAGAAACTAATCAGAACAGAAACATTTGCATATAACACTGTTTCAAATAAAACGTGTTGACTCAGTCTGTGTTAGGACATTCTGTATTATTCTTCATCACTCTTCTCTGGTTGAGGTTTAACACGAGTTCAGCTCATTCAGAACATCGCTGCAAGCGTTCCCTCACCTCTCTGTAGATGGAGTTCTGTCTGCTTTCTGTGCCATTCTACAGCTGTTCATAAGAGACACAATCACAACATCAATATACATGTGACGACTATGGGATTCTCTTGCACCTGATTTACAGCAAACAGTTCAATGAATAACTTACAAACAAACACTTCATAAGTTTTCATCAAGAGTGGTTTACTAAACTACTCTCATTTTATTTCAGATGTCAAACTGCTGTAGTTCTTTTGTCTCTGAACATTAAGCATCCCATACGGCAAAAAATATCATTTTGAATATATTTTTCAAAATATTAAAATAATATATATATATATATGATCATATTTTTCTAAATATTTTTGCATAGCCTAAATGTATTTCTTGACCATTTTCTCAAATTTAAAAGCATTAAAAATATATATTTTGTCCTCCATATTGCTCAGTCGGGGAAAAAAAACATTGTATTTGTCACATAATATTCTGGTATATGAAGGTTGAAACAAAACATATTTTAAGTTTCAAAAATACAAAGAGCTCATTACAACATATATTTATCATATATTTAAATATATGTCTTGGCCATTTTTTTTTTGTTGCCATATTGCATTTTTCCCCCAGCATACATTCTGCATTTGAATAGCACCGATGTAATTTGCGAATCAAAAAATTATGGAATAAATCCATCCTAAACTCACTCAAACAGATTCAGTGTGAAACCACATTAAAGCTCAGGCTACACTCTCACACCTGGTTAAACTGAACGCAAACCTCTGCTTCACTGTTCACAAATCTTACCGTTGACAGATGAAGATGAAGCTTCTCCAGCAGAGACGCCGAGGATCTGAAGGTCCTGCTCAGTCTGTGCCTCCGTCTCTGCGTCAGAAGACCTTAAAGGTGATTAGACGGCTAAACGTGTCCAGATTAAAGCAGGAAACATGTGTGCGGCCAAAGAAAACACCAGAGGAACCTGATCACGCAAGGGCTTTGGCATAACCTCAGCTTTCCTGCTGGAAGAACAGAGAAGAGCAAATACAGGGACGGATTTCAAACTGTTAAACAGTCTTTTCCTCTATAGGCTGGCTGTTTGAGCGATCACATAGGCCTATCAATGTATTCATTAATATGGAATGATCCTGGAGGTGTTAAAGATGTGGTTTTCAGAAGGCTTTCGTTTCATACACCTCATGTGTTGATATTTTTGACCTGCTCTGCAGGGAAGAAACCAGCTAAAGAAAGTAAGTAACTCGAACTTCATTTAGCACCTGAACACAGTCGTGATTTTATGTGGTTTACAACATCTGGAGTATTTGTGAAGCAGATCATTAAAGAGCAGCCTTTACTGAGGCTACGTCTACATTAATCAGAAGTAGAAGCATCTATTTATACAAAAAACCTCTGCAGACACTTCTCTGTTGTCTCAAACACGTCAGTTTCTACTCTGACCTGTGTACTAATCGATCATTAAACGTAGCAGTCTATACTGTGAATGTTGGCCGTTCTAGTGACACATTCCTGTGATGTTCCTCATTTGTGTAAGTCACTTTGGGAAAAAGCCTCTGCTGAATGAATATGTCTTATGGGACAAAACAAACAGGGCTAAAACACGTTATCAGGATAAAGAGTCCCACAATATGATGTTACAGCTGTATTTCTTATCACTCTGTATATTGATGAAGCAACATAACGTGTAAAATGTTTGATTAAAAATGTGTAAATGTGCCTCAGCCAAATGCTTTCGATATTTTAACGGCTGATTGTTGTATTTTGGGTTTTACATTTCTTTTTAGAAATATTGTAAGTTATTTTAATGGCACATTGATTGATGCTTCAGTGTTGAGTTAATGAAAGGCACGATGACCTGAAAAGCAAAGTCTGATTGTGATTTCTGAAGCTGACGAGATGCTCAAACCCATACAGAATGTAAAACTTCCCAAAGCTGTCCATCCATCAAACACAGCAACAGAATGAAGAAGCGCATTATGGTGGTGTATTAATATACATTAACGATTCATTTAAATCTGCAGACATTCCATTACCTGAAAACCTTTTATTAGAATCTTTGTGCATAAACGTTTCTCTTTCTCCATGTATGGAATTTAATATTGTAGTATTGTATAGCCACCCCAAGTAAGTTGGAATGAAGTATTACAACATAATCAAGTAAATAAATGTTGTGATGAATTTATGATTAATATCAGTCGTATTGAAGATAAATGTATTAAATGTCGGAAGAAATCACATAGAAAACTACAGCTTCCTTGGATAAATGATACAATATGTCAATGAATGAAACAAAGAGATCATGCTTTAAAGACTTTTCTTATGACTAGACATTCAATTGCCTCATAACAACAGAAAACACAGACAAATGTATGTTCACACACGAATATCTTTCCACTTAATCACAGCGAGTATGAAGCGTCATTCATCATCTGATGACATCTGTCTTAGTGAGGCATCACCTGCTGTTATTTTTAGAAACCGAGCGCATTAGCATTTACCCCACCGGCCTCGCTCCGTTCCCACGGCTCTCGGCCCCGCCCCTCTCGTCACACTCACAGATACCATTTTTCTCTAAGAAGGAATATAATTGTGAGGATATGATCTTTTCTAGTATCTTGGACAGAAAAGGGAGATTCGAGATCGGTCTGTAATTAACTAGTTCTTTGGGGTCAAGTTGTGTTTTTTTGATGAGAGGCTTAATAACAGCCAGTTTGAAGACCCTGTCTGTGCACAAATAAAATAAAGACATTTCAAAATTATATTTAAGCATGGTTTTAATTCCATTTTAATGAATGTTGCAACCATCCTGTTGTGGGGTCAGTTGCAATATTTGACTCTGTCTATTCAAGTATAAATTGTACGTATATTATCATATGTGCACATGTTACAGCAGTGTTGGTGAGTAGCTGACAGATGTGGGTCAATTTTGGCTTTCCAATACAAACAGTCTCTGAGAAACTGAAGGAAATGCAGAAGTGTTGCAACCGTCCCCCACTCTCCCTACTGTTAAGTAAAGCGAGATATTTCGCAAACAAAAACGTCTGTTGTAGGTTTTATAGTCAATAGAGTAGCGATGTATGAAGCACAGGATTCACTTTAAAACCAATCGGTTTTCGGTTCATCAGTGTGGAAGAATTCGCAAATTCACAATCTGAACGGGAAATTCCATGTGAAATTCCCAAATGCATAGATTCCTAGTAAAAGACTGTGAAAATTCACAGAACAACGATTTTAAATGTACATGTTATATTAATTTTATATGATAAATTAAACTGATATTAAATAAAAACAGACTGAAGACTAACACACTGTATATTTCACTGAGTGTGTCTCTGTCTGTCAGTGTCGTTTCTTGTAGTGGTTCCTGGTGATCCTATAGTGGCTCATGTGGGATCCACAGGGATTCTTCCCTGCTGGATCTCTCCTCCTGAGAACGCTGAAGCTCTGGAGATCCGCTGGTACCGTCACGATCAGTTCAACAACCCTGTTCTGCTCTATAATCATGGGAAGATCCAGGACATCCAGGAATGTTTCAGGAACCGAAGCTCTTTGGCTCTGCGGTCAGATCAGTCTGGTGGACTGAAGGATGGAGACGTCTCTCTACGACTAGAGAAACTCACATTTCAGGATGAAGGTTCATTTCACTGTTATGTGAGTGGAGACAGAGAATATGGCAGCAAAGTAGTAGATCTCAAAATCACTGGTGAGTCAAAAACTACAATTCATTATCAGTGGTGTCTGGCCAATAGAGCTCTGCCCTCCCTGAGCCACACACAAAATAATAATAATAATAAATCATACAATATGATGTTTGTATGATATGATATTAAAGAAAATCATCAGTGCAAAATATATGCTTTACATGCATGTCTCAAGTTCAGCTCTGGGGAGCTCGAGAAATTGCTCACAGGAGGAGGGTTTAGCAGTTTAGCCAATTGCTGTGAACATATTCAAGACATGACATAAAATTTAGCCAATCAGCATCCTCAAATCTTATCTGAAATGGGCAATTTCTCTATCGCCCCTAAAGGACTAGTCTGTATGGGCAGAATAACAAACCAGTACCAGTAAAACCTTTGATGGATGGCGATTGTAATCAAGGTAAAGATAATTGTAATGACATACAGGAGTCATACATTATTAGACACCTGTGAGTCCATTATTAACCATGTATGTGTGCTCTCCGCGCATTGATAGCTTTTTGCACAGCAAGCACATTTCAGTATGCAGATGTGGCCATTGAGAATGCACATTCAGAGGGAATAGATCACGAGTGACCAGGCTGTGGCTCTAACACAGGACAGACATGATCAATGATGTGAAAATATGATGTGAAAAACTTTATTGTAAGGCATATTGTTTGTATTTCGTTATAAAACTGACAGGATACTTTTTATATTAAAAGTACCAAAGGCACAAAGCTTATTGATATTATTGGGGGGCTGACACAGTACAAATAATAAATGCAATCGAAGATAGTGGTCTGTTAGCATCTCCGTGTGCGGTCCTGTTTAGAATTGCAGCATGCCTAATGTGACATTTATTTATTTTTTCCTCACAGTTTTTGCTTTTGCACTGTATACATAAATTGTAAATTATTACAATAATAAAAAAACTAATTACCTTGAGCTTGCAGAAAATACAGTTTCGTGAGAAACCTTGGCAAAACAAGTGCCGTTACAGTATTTAAAATGTTTCAAGTCTTAATATTTCTCCTTCTGTTATACTAGGACAAATCATGCTGGGGTGTTTGCTAAAGCTGTTGGTTGTGGCACAGCCATACCTAGAGAATTGTCCACAAGCCGCAACTGTTAATTATGTTTTCATTGATCTATGACTCTCCATAATGTTGCTCCAAACGCATGAGACTTTCTTTCCACCGGTGTTTATCAGATTCAATAATGGGTCCATATGATGCATTCAGTATGTTCTCAGGTCTTGTGTAAGTCATGATGTTCATACATGAACATAAGAACTAATGCAAATGCCTTGTCATGCTGATGTGCACTGTTGTTGTCGTTTTCTTTTGTAAACTTATTTATTATAATTTCTATGTTTTGCTATATATTTTATTCAATTATACATTTTTTTCCAGAGTGGAGTTCTGTCTCAGATCCATCTGTTTCATCAGGTCCGTGGAAGGCTCTTTTCTTCACCGTTCTCATTGTTCTCATGTTGATGCTGAGTTTGGTTGGGTGCCTCTACAAATACAGAGACAATCTAACAGGTACAATCTGGCTGAAAGATCTTAAAGATGTAGTTTTCAGGAGGTTTTTGTTTCATGCATCTCATGTGTTGATATTTTTGATCTGCTCTGCAGGGAAGAAACAACCTAGAGTGAGGACAACAGAAGCAATCAAAACCAACAAAAGAGCAATGATATACAAGAGCTATAAGTCTCAGTTAACTTAATGCAGTACACCTAGCAAGGGCTTTTTTAAAATCATATAATAAATAAAAAGATCCATCAGCTGGTTACTGGTTCTTGTGTTCAGACAGTCCTCATGGCTTTTACACCAGCACTGATCCACCAGTTAAACTCTCTCTGACTCCGAGACCTGAGCGACTGGGAGTTCTGTTCGATTATGATGACGGTCAGCTGTCATTTTACAACGTCACAGAGAGAAAACATCTCCTGACCATCAGCAGCAGATTCTCTGGATCAGTCGTTCCTCTCTTCAATCCTGGAGCAGGTGATCAGAGTGCACTTGAAATCCTGGATTGTCCAATATTTGTAGAGTCAAGTAAACGTTTACTGATTTATTAGGAGCTCAGACACCTGACTGACCATTGCAGTGTGTTTTAAACTGGACATAAAGAAGACAAAAACACTAGCCGTCTGCCAATCTCAAGATCAGAGGTTTGATTCCCAGTCTACTTACATGACGTATCTCTGGTATTTGGTCAAAGTGTTCAAGTGGTCGTAAAAACCTCAAGTGTTTGTAGAACAGAGATGGACATCTCAGTGCTGGAGGTTCACTGTCCTGCAGAGTTTAGCTCCAAACCCAATGAAACACACCTGTCGTCTCTAACCAATGTCTTCAAGATTACTAGAAAATCTTTCCTGATCATATATTTATGGGTCATATAGATACTTCTTTGTACTGAACTATATATGTGTATGTGCATGTGGGAAAATCGGGTACAGTATTGCTTACCCTACATTACTTTTCACACTAAACAGTGGAATAATTTAACAGAATGTGCTTGTAATGGTGCACATTCAGCTTCTGTCTACAGAGATGATGAGGTGAATTGTTTTACAGTCTTCAGCATGTAATAAAGGGTCTTTCTCAAGCACCGAACTCTTCCATAATGGGGACTGGGACTGTTCTAATATGATATAAAGCACCATTGAAGTATTCAAACAGTATTCAATATGACCTGTGTGCTTTATTCTAAGTGTTCCGAAGATGTATTTTACTAAATTGTTTCCATACTACATCACTGTTTTAGTCTGCTGATAGGTAAAATAACCCAGAATTAGATTTTTTTTAAACCATGAAAAACCGATTAGCAGCTCTTCAGAATTAGCAGTATAAATAAATGTGAGCAATAAGAACAGACATACAGTATATTAGAAAAAATATATACAAACTGTAAGCATACACAAACAAATGAGCAATACAGACAAGCAAAGACATAAATACAAATGACCAAGGCATAAATACACAATGAGAATAGGATCAAGTACAAATACAAGCACGATGTGCTAAACAAATTAGGTAGTGCAAAGTGCAACATAATAATATAGCTGGGGAGAACACTTATTGCTCAAGTAGGAGGTTTATAGCACAAGTCCAAGGGATGAAGGGGTTTATACAACCAGGTGAGGTCAGATGAGATATACAGTCCAAGAAAGTATCTCCACCTCCTCATAGGGCTGGGTATCGAGCTCGATACTTTTTAGGCACTGACCGAATTGCCGATTGGCCAATAAGCCTGCAGCATCAGTGTTCGACTAGAGGCGCGGCGCAGATCGATCAGTGTTTGACATCCACGAGAGCGATTCGAAAGCGCACGGAGCAGTCTGCTCTCTGTAGCTCTCATGGTACTGTAATACACCGATCGGTCTGCACAGTAAATCAGTGGAAAATTTATAGAAATTATGAGTCTGAGTTATGCGTTTTAAAACGAACACGCACTAGTGTAAATGTAGCCTGTAACAGGTGTGTAAACTGAAGACTATTTGAGCTTTAAAACTATTTGCACTGATTTATTGTGTTGGTTACATTTTAATCCTTTGTGCAGTGGCTCAGGAGATGAGTCTTTGAGTCTGTATAAACATCAACAAGCTGAAAAATAAAATCAATATATATATATACATATTTATCAATTTTGTTCAAATTGATTTCATACCATTGATTTTTTTTTTTTAAAGTATCGTTCAGGAACCGGTATCGAAGTCAAGGTATTGGTATCGGTATCGATATCGAAAGAATTTTAACGATTCCCAACCCTATGATGGATCAACCTGTGTGCTGTAGTAGATGTTAGACTTACACCTTGTGCGTTTACTACAGGTGAGGGAGAGCAGCTTGGAGAAACACCTGGAAACATCCCTGATATTATTGATCTTCTCAGAAAAGAAGGAAGCAAACTCATTGCATTTGCTGTCGGAGAGCATTTCACTGGCAATCTGATTTGGGGGGTTTGTCAGTCTCTCAACAGTAGCAAAAAGAGTGCGAGTGTTGTTTAAGTTACTGTTTATAAGGTTTGAGAAGAAAGTCTGTCTAGCTGTGGCTAGTTCCACATTGAAAGCACAAAGGCTGTCTTTATATATTCTGTAAGGGTGTTTTCCCTGCAGTGGTTCAGGCTGTAGGACTGCCAAATGACTAAAGAAATGTTATCAGCACGATGGCATAAAACTGTACATTTCTTGTCTATTACCACCCACTGCCACTTATACCAACGACGGAAATAAGCGCAGTTAGAATAGCTACATATCTGGGAGAGCGTTGCTATTGAGTGACTATATTGTATTTCAATAGGTAGTACTTCAAAGTTAATGTTGAATCAAGACAAGTTAGCACATAATTTATAATTGAAATGGATTAATAATAGTATTTGTTTATGGTTACGCTTGAGTTAGTTACAAAATAGATGAAGGATGATAAAACATAAATAGTTAATTGTACCCAGCATGTATGTAAAATGAGAGAGAAAGAAAGAAAGAAAGAAAGAAAGAAAGAAAGAAAGAAAGAGGGAGAGCAGAGCCCCAAAGAAGAGGGCCCCAGCAAAGAAAGAGACAGCAAAGGAAAGCCCCAGAGCAACAGTTGCAATCGTCTTTTATCCCTTCCTTGACCACGTGACTAAAAACCAAAAGCCCTTAAATGGTGTACTTAAAAAGATGTCAAGGTGAGAACAAAAGATGATCTGAAAAGCTCTTATACTGTTTTTGGAAACATTCAAATAAATTGCATTATAACAGAATCAACAATCACTGATTTCAACACCCCCTTCATCAGTAAGAGTATCAGCAAAATATTCAGTGTAACCAAATACAGAAATTCAAATGTCCAAAGAAAATCATTGTTTCAACTGAAATGGACAACATACAAAGAAGCAGAAATCAAATTAGTTAATTAGATTATTAGTGATATATCAAAGTGAGAAATAGTAATTTACATTTGAAACTTGGTGAGATGATAGCTAAGTGATTAGGTAAACCCAAAGAAACCAAAGCAAACAATAATGGCTGAAATTCACAATTATAATACAGTCTAGATGTATAGACTTAACATTATATGAGGCAGTATCAGACAGATGTAGATTTGAGTCTGTGTGTGAAGATCAAATGGTTTTATCTGTGGCTGTATTTAGCTGTGGCTATGTGTCAGTGTAATCATGCTCCAAACAAAGGTGAGGAAGTTTTACAATTGTGATGCAAATTTGGTCCTGTTGTAACAGGGAGCCAGCCTGAGAATGTGAGTATGAGGTGTGATCTGACTCAAAATACTTCAACACCAGTGCTTTTTCTTAAGTAGCACGGATAAAGTGCAAAGTTCAGAGCTGAATCCTGTTGTGAGGAAAGCATTTTCATTGTTAAGACAATTGTGCATGTTTATTTTCCATTTGGACATTTTCACACAAGACACATTGTCTAGTATGCATGTAGCATCTACAACCTTTAACCCCCTGGGGCTGAAGCCTGCCTTTCTTGATGATCGCGAAAAGAACTAAAAATACTCTGTTAATTTTGACCATACAGATAAGAATAAGGTATCGTTTAAAACTGCAAAGGATCTTTTATTTGTGTAAAGTCATAATAACAACAAAACAATGTGCTTTTGTAAAATAAAGAAAATAAACAGGGTGCGCTCTCAGTCCTCACTGTCTCCGCGAACTGCTTTAAGAAACGCGTCACTAAAATGAACTGAAAGTCAGCGAATACTTTACATACAGACATGAGAAATATATCTTGCCGTGTCTACTCTTAAATGAAGTAACTCTTACCGAAAACAAATATTCTGTGATAAAGTAATCTGTATGAAACCAACGACAGGTCCAGTTTTTCCCATCTGTTCTCATTATCTCTAATTAGATCACACCCACGCGCTGCTCGCGCTATTGATATTACAAATCTCCACGTGAGACGCGCGACATATTTGACACGAGTCAAACAGGCCCACTGAGTTTCGGTCCGATCGGCCTCCGTTAACCTTGTCTAATAGGTGCTCAAACTTCAGCGGCCAATGGCGGCCATGTTTTTATTTTGAGATACGCAAATGTCCTTATAGACTCTTGTGGCTCTTTGGATCAAGACCATGCACAGCGATTTTCATGTTGATAGGACAAATGGTTGCGTAGTTGTAGCCATTTTTTTTTTCTGTCTTATATCACCAACAAGTAGCCAATCTCCACAATTTTTTTCCCCGTGACCTCAAATTGAGCTCTTTCACTCCGTTCAGGAGTTATAGCTAGTCATTTTACTAAAAGTGGCCATGGCCCTTTCAAACATTTTGACGTCCCTTTGCGACGGTGAGTCGAAAGTTCATTAATGGTATTCACTCTCCAGAGAAGTGAGAAATATAACCAAGGAAAACACGATTTTGTGCGCAATTCAGACAATTTTGCATTAATATTTAAAATTTGTGCAATATGATTTTAAAACGTGTTTAAAGTTTTGATTCATGCTTGTTATTTAAAAAAATGCGTTATAAATTTTTTGATTTACGCTTATTATTGTTTAATCCGTGACCATTGTTTGCAATTCTGAAAACTTTGCTTTCATTTTTAAATCTTGTGCAATATATTTTTTACTTGCGTTTTTAAATTTTGTTTTCATCCTTGTTCTTTTTTTATCCGTGACTGCAATACTTTAGGCGGGATTCTGATCCCATACTAGTCATTTTACTAAAAGTGGCCATGGCCCTTTCAAACATTTTGACGTCCCTTTGCGACGGTGAGTCGAAAGTTCATTAATGGTATTCACTCTCCAGAGAAGCTTTCTGCACTGGTTTGGTTCCGATCGGGTGAAAAACCTAGGACTAGTTCGCAAAAGTAGGTTTTCCAAAAAATGTGAAATGTCACAATTGAATCTGATGCA